AAGGCCGTCGGCTTCGAGAGGCCTTCGAGAAGAAGACGCAGGAGCTGCAGAGCAGCCTGAAGGAGTAAGTCCACTTCCCCCACCCTCTGGAACTCCGTAACCTGGATGGGGAACATGGGGGGGGGGAGAGTAGATACTTTTATTTATATTTTTTAAATTTATTTTATTCGACGCATATCCCGCCTTCCCCGCATGGCAGGCTCAGGGCGGATGACATTGAATTTGATAAAAATGCAATATACACAATTAACACAATTAAAACACATAAGAACATAAGAGAAGCCAATGTTGGATCAGGCCAGTGGCCCATCCACTCCAACACTCTGTGTCACACAGTGGCCAAAAAGACCAGGTCCCATCAGGAAGTCGAGCAGTGGGGCCAGGACACTAGAAGCCCTCCCACTGTTGCCCCCCCCCCCAAGCACCAAGAAGCAGAGGATCACTTGCCCCAGAGCCCCTAGCTATACCTTGTGGCTAATAGCCACTGATGGACCTCTGCTCCATATGCTTATCTAATTCCCTTTTGAAGCCGTCCATACCCGCCGGCCTTGCAGGTCCACCGCCGGGCCCCTCATGGGGCTCGGCAGTGGAGCTGCAAGGCCAGCAGCGGCGGCCGGGACCATTGGGGGCGGGGTGTGTGGCCTTATGACACACTTCCGGTGATGTGAGGGGGTGTGGCCTTATGACACACTTCCGGTGATGTCAGGGGGTGTGGCATATGCTAATGAGCTATGCTAATGAGTTCCCCTAGCTCTTTTTCTATGAAACGACCCCTGCCAAGAAGACAGAGCATCCCTTGCCCCAGGCCTAGAGTTCCTATCTATACCTTGTGGCTAACAGCCACTGATGGACCTCTGCTCCATATGCTTATCCAATCCCCTCTTGAATCCGTCCATGCTTGTAGCTGCTGCCACCACCTCCTGTGGCAGTGAATTCCATGTGTTAATCACTCTTTGGGTGAAGAAGGACTTCCTTTTATCCATTCTGCTCAGCAATTTCATGGAATGCCCACGAGTTCTTGTCTTGTGAGAAAGTGAGAAAGGGAGGAAAGGACTTCTTTCTCTACCTGCTCTATCCCATGCATAATATTGTAAACCTCGAGAGAGATGTACAGTTTCCGGAAATTTTGAAGCTTGGGAAAAAACCAGTTTCCCCCCCGAAAAAAACTGAAATTTTCAGAAAAATTGAAAAAAATGCTACATTAGCACTTCTTTCTTTTCCAGATTGAAAGTCATTCTGTTACTTTAGGAACATAAAATATGACAATGGACATTTTTACTTGGCATGAAATTATCACAACTAGCCTATTAAACATATAGTGTATCCAAACAATTATTATAAACAGAATACCCACCCACATGCAAAAACAAAACTGAAACCTTTTTCTTTTCTTGTGACAATAGAACCTCCTAAAGGAAGAAATGCATCTTGTTCTTGCATTGGAGAGTTCGGTTTGTAACCTAGGACTTGCTTGTCCTCAGTGCACAGAAATTAGATCAATCGGCTGGAGCTACCAATGACCTGGCGATGACGAAGATGCCTTTCCCACAGGAACTCAGCAGGCATGCCATCTTCTTCGCTTCCTCAGTGATGTCGTTGTCCTCTAAGTGTTCCATAATCAACTTTTTCCCCAATTTTCCGGGGGGAAAACAACACAAAAAAGGCTTCAGGAAAAAAATGGGGGGGGGGGACGGCTTTTTCCCTGAATTTTCCGGCGTTTTTTCCGCAGGCCTTCACATCTCTAAACCTCGATCACATCACCCCTCAGCCGTCGTTATCTCCAAGCTAAAGAACCCTTTAAAGAGCTAGTAAAATACCACCGTCACCCAGAGCCAGGAGGCAACATCAGGAGATACTCTGTCTTCTTGGTGCTTGGGGGGCAAGAGTGGGAGGGCTTCTTGAGTTCCGGCCCCACTGGTGGACCGCCTGATGGCCCCTGGGTTTTGGCCACTGTGTGACACAGAATGTTGGACTGGGTGGGCCATTGGCCTGATCCAACATGGTTTCTCTTACGTTCTTATGTCTGGGACAGTGATGCTCTGTCTTCTTGGTGCTTGGAGGGCAAGAGTGGGAGGGCTTCTGGAGTCCTGGCCCCGCTGGTGGACCTCCTGATGGCCCCCGGATTTTGTCCACTGTGTGACAGAGTGTTGGACTGGGTGGGCCATTGGCTTGATCCAACATGGCTTCTCTTACGTTCTTATGCCTTGCATGGATAGGTCAGGTCCAGTGCCTTTTGCATGGTGCTCAGCAGCTCTAAAAGCCTCTAGAACATTTCTGTCACAGGCCTTGATATTGTTTAATTGTAGGGTCCTCTCTGCAAACATACTCAGGGCCGCTTTTTTTGGACCGCAAAGTATTTACTGTTTTTAGATTTTAAACGGCATGTATATACTTATTGTATTTCCCGACTTGTATTTATAAACTGTTGTAAACCTCCCTGAGCCCCATTGGAAGAAAGGCAGTATATAAATCAAATAAATAGTAATAATCATTAAAATGCATTGGCACGGAGTTGTGTGTTCGAGTTCAGAGTCCCCTCTCTGCAGGGTTCGGAAGATGAGGAGTCTCACTTTTCAAAACTTTTGCAGGCTGAAGGAGGCGAAAATGCTCAAAGAGCAGACGGCGGCGAAGGTGGCCGACTTGGAAGAGCAGCTGACAGAGATGCAGGACGAGCTGGACCGCTTCCGGGAGCCCTCGGGGGACACCCCTAGCCGGGAATCCTTGCTGCAGGTAGGGGGTTACTCTCAGCTCTCATGGGGCTTCAGAGTGGGACTAGTAGTTCTTTGCAACGGAGACTCTCTGTGCTGAGATTCGGGTTTCGCTTCAGGTTCGAAGAAGTGAGTGGTGACTCACGAAAGTTCGTGCCCGGCCGCAAATTTCGTTAATCTTTAAGGTGCTGCCGAACCTTAAAGTTGTGTCATCCCCCCCCCCCCCCCGTAGGCTGCCGTCAGCAAAACGGATCCATAGGATCCTCCCGCTGTTGTCCCACAATTCCCTAGTTCTTACCCATTGTCCGGGCCTCGCTGGTGACAGCTCACCGCAACCTTCGTCGTGTCGGTTAAGGGTGCCTGTCATGATCTGGGCTGTGCCACCAGAGGCCTACTAGGCCCAGAGAGCCTGGCTAGCAGTAGGTGAGGCTGGGCCTACAACTCCCAGAAGCCCCTGAGAGGTTTTGGAGCCAAAATTGACCAATAGGAAAAGAGGTGGGCTTGGAATAAAAGATCTGGAGCAGCAGGAAAAGCGGTTCTTCTTCCCAGAGGGCAGAGCCAGAAGGAAGGCTGCTGCAGGGGAAGAGATTGTCATCCTGAGAAGAAGGGTGAGCAGACTGAGGACACTTAATAGTGAGCTAGGAACAGTATATATTTAAACACGTTTAAGCATTTGATTCCTTTTCACCCACTTAGTGTTATTCTGCACCTTGTTGTTTGACCGCCTATAAAATAAACCTTTTCCTTGTTGTACTCTGCCTAATCCTCACGCCTATTATTCGGTCAAAAGGGAGGACTGAAGGTCTTGGGAGGGCACTCTAGGCCTTCTCAAGGGATCCTAAATCCAGAGTGGTGGCAGCGTCAGTGGTGACACCCCCACCTGAGCCGTGACAGTGCCGGAAAGAGCTCACCGCTGTGCTTTCTCCCCCACCTCCCCAGGAGCTGCTGGAGACCCGGGAGGAGCTGGAGGCGGTGCTGAGCGCCCGGCAGAAGCAGGAGGAGCAGCTGCACCAGCGGGAGCGGGAGCTGACGGCCCTGAAGGGGGTCCTGAAGGAGGAGGTGGCCAGCCACGACAAGGAGCTGGACCGGCTCCGGCAGCAGTACCAGGAAGACGTGGAGCACCTGCGGCGCAACATGGAGGGCGTGTCGCAGGTGGGAGGGGCCGTTTCAGGTCCAGCGGGCAAAACAAGGACTTGGAGGGGGGGGGACGGTCAGCCCTTGGTCTGAGCTATCCTGCTTCAGGCAACAGGAGGGAGCTCATGTAGTCGAATCGCTCTCTGTCCATTTCCCTGCAAATAGAAACCTAGGATGTCGGGGGGGGGGGGGGCTCATGCAGTCAAACCACCCTTGGTCTCATTCCCTGAAAAGAGTTAGGATGGAGTGGGTGGGCTCATGCAGTCGAACTGCCCCCTGTCTCATTCCCTGCAAGCAGAAAGCTAGGATGACAGGGTCAAAGAGTGGGGCTCGTGATGTCAAGCCATCCTCCGTCTCATTCCCTGCAAAGAGAAAGTTAGGATGTCAGGGATGGGGGGGGTCATGCGGTCATATCACCCTCCGTCTCATTTCCTGCAAAGAGAAAGTTAGGATGTCAGGGATGGGGGGGGTCATGCGGTCATATCACCCTCCGTCTCATTTCCTGCAAAGAGAAAGTTAGGATGTCAGGGATGGGGGGGGTCATGCGGTCATATCACCCTCCGTCTCATTTCCTGCAAAGAGAAAGTTAGGATGTCAGGGATGGGGGGGGTCATGCGGTCATATCACCCTCCGTCTCATTTCCTGCAAAGAGAAAGTTAGGATGTCAGGGATGGGGGGGGTCATGCGGTCATATCACCCTCCGTCTCATTTCCTGCAAAGAGAAAGTTAGGATGTCAGGGATGGGGGGGGTCATGCGGTCATATCACCCTCCGTCTCATTTCCTGCAAAGAGAAAGTTAGGATGTCAGGGATGGGGGGGGTCATGCGGTCATATCACCCTCCGTCTCATTTCCTGCAAAGAGAAAGTTAGGATGTCAGGGATGGGGGGGGTCATGCGGTCATATCACCCTCCGTCTCATTTCCTGCAAAGAGAAAGTTAGGATGTCAGGGATGGGGGGGGTCATGCGGTCATATCACCCTCCGTCTCATTTCCTGCAAAGAGAAAGTTAGGATGTCAGGGATGGGGTCATTCCCTGCAAGCAGAAAGCTAGGATGACAGGGTCAAAGAGTGGGGCTCGTGATGTCAAGCCATCCTCCGTCTCATTCCCTGCAAAGAGAAAGTTAGGATGTCAGGGATGAGGGTCTCATGTAGTCAAACCACCCTCCATCTCATTCTCTGAAAAGAGAAAGTTAGGATGGGAATGGGGGGGGGGGGCTCATGCAGTCGAACTGCCCTCTGTCTCATTCCCTGCAAGCAGAAAGCTAGGATTTCGGGAGGGGCTCATGCAGTCAAACTGCCCTCTGTCTCATTCCCTGCAAACAGAAAGCTAGGATGTCAAGGTAAGAGAGATGAGGCTCATTCCCTGCAAAGAGAAAGTTAGGATGTCAGGGATGGGGGGGGTCATGCGGTCATATCACCCTCCGTCTCATTTCCTGCAAAGAGAAAGTTAGGATGTCAGGGATGGGGGGGGCTCATGCAGTCAAACTGCCCTCTGTCTCATTCCCTGCAAACAGAAAGCTAGGATGTCAAGGTAAGAGAGATGAGGCTCATTCCCTGCAAAGAGAAAGTTAGGATGTCAGGAATGGGGGGGGCTCATGCAGTCAAACCACCCTCTTGTCGCATTCCCTGAAAGCAGAAAGCTAGGATGTCAAGGTCAGAGAGGTGGGGCTCACGCAGGCAAACCACCCTCCGTCTCATTCCCTGCAAAGAGAAAGTTAGGATGTCAGGGATGGGGGGCTCATGCAGTCAAACCACCCTCTGTCACATTCCCTGCAAGCAGAAAGCTAGGGTGTCAGGGTGAGAGAGCTGGGGCTCACGCAGGGAAACCACCCTCCGTCTCATTCCCTGCAAAGAGAAAGTTATGATGTCAGGGATGGGGGGGGGGCTCATGGAGTCAAACCACCCTCTGTCACATTCCCTGCAAGCAGAAAGCTAGGGTGTCAGGGTCAGAAAGGTGGGGCTCACATCCCTCCAAAGAAAAAGTTATGAAGTCAGGGAGGGGGGGGGGGCTCATGCAGTCAAACCACCCTCTGTCACATTCCCTGCAAGCAGAAAGCTAGGGTGTCAGGGTGAGAGAGCTGGGGCTCACGCAGGGAAACCACCCTCCGTCTCATTCCCTGCAAAGAGAAAGTTAGGATGCCAGGGATGGGGGGGGCTCATGCAGTCAAACCACCCTCTGTCACATTCCCTGCAAGCAGAAAGCTAGGGTGTCAGGGTCAGAAAGGTGGGGCTCACACAGGCAAACCACCCTTCGTCTCATTCCCTGCAAAGAGAAAGTTAGGATGTCAGGGATGGGGGGGGCTCATGCAGTCAAACCACCCTCTGTCACATTCCCTGCAAGCAGAAAGCTAGGGTGTCAGGGTGAGAGAGGTGGGGCTCACGCAGGGAAACCACCCTCCGTCTCATTCCCTGCAAAGAGAAAGTTAGGATGCCAGGGATGGGGGGGGCTCATGCAGTCAAACCACCCTCTGTCACATTCCCTGCAAGCAGAAAGCTAGGGTGTCAGGGTCAGAGAGGTGGGGCTCACGCAGGCAAACCACCCTCCATTTCATTCCCTGCAAAGAGAAAGTTAGGATGGCAGGGATGTCATGCGGTCAAACCGCCCTCTGTAGAGTCCCCCCCACACACACCAAATCTGTGGGTCGCGTTTTGTTCCCGTCCAGGACCAGGCCAGCCTGGAGGCCGAGAGGCAGAAGATCAACTCGGTGGTGAGGAACCTTCAGAGGGAGTTGGAGGAGAGCAACGAGGAGACCGCCCACTGGAAGGAGATGTTTCAGCGGAACAAGGAAGACCTGCGGAGCACCAAGCAGGAGTAAGGCCCCTCCCTCCTTAACCAGCCCCTTTTTCCCAGCTGGGGTTGGGTACACACAGCTCTCTACATACTCCAAGGTTCAGAAAGAAATCAGAAATAGGTTCAGCTTCAGAGAAGAGGGCGGAGCCTGGTGGAGCACTGAAAGGACGACCAGCTGGCCAATGGGAATCATGCTCAGTCATGTCCTCCCCCCCCCCCTTTCCAGAACTGGAAAGGGAAAGACCTCCGCCTGAGACCCTGGAGAGCTGTAAAGAGGGGCTGTGGCTCAGTGGAAGAGCCTCTGCTTGGCATGCAGACGGTCCCAGGTTCAATCCCCGGCATCTCCA